CAAACTGTGTCGACGGATAAAGGCTCTTTGGGCTGAACGGGACATGCAAGTTTCCTTCTAGCGCCCTCTAAGGATGACTTAACAAGGGGGTGACTAGTAGGACATTCTACTATCCCGGCCAGACTATGAGCCCACTTAATGCCGTAAAGAACTGATTCTATAGAAGATGTTCCCGTATTATTGCTAACTGAAATTACAGTAAGCTCGCTAATAAAGAGCGCGACATTGACGCCACATCAGCCAGCCAGATCTGTATTTCTGCACGGTGGAAGGAGCCCTAGACTCCAACCGTAAATGTAGAAGGTTTGGAACAAGCCTACGCAAAGATATCTCGACCAGACAATTTGCGTCACGCTAAATCCCCGATTGCAGAACGAAAAATAAGAAATAAAATAAGAGTAAGCAAAAAAAAAGGTAGAATAACAAAAATAGAGATACATAATACAAACAGAAAATGAGATGCCACAAAAACCATCTTCAATAAAACACAATAAAATAGCAAACGCGGCGCAAAAACAATTTAGCCCAGAACACGTACGGTCAAAACGACGATGCCAAATCAGGAAAAAGGTGCAAAACAAACGGAGGTCAAACTACCGACCAAAATGACACTGCCAAATCAGGCAAAACACAACGGGGCTAGCCTAAAAGATCAGCAATGACAAGGTGAGGAGTAGAGCTGAAAGAAAAGAGACGTGCATTGTAAACAAGGATGACAAAAGCTCACCTAAAATCAACCCTTAGGGGTAACATTATGAATCTCAGGCAACCACTGAAAACCGGGGGACGCGCCTTGTAAATTTGCCTCTAGCCGGGACCTACCAACAAGAGGTCTTCTATACAAGGAAGCTCAAACACTCCCTTAACAGAAGACCTGAACTGAGAAGAGCTGTCATGCAAAAAGGGCCAAAAATAGGCCGAAGGCCACTGTGCGACAATCAAAGTGCCGTAATCAGAGCACGACGAGAGAGCTCTAACAGAAGGAACGATGGCACTCACAGGAGAGCACACCCAATTTTTCTCGTCTAGCCAATCCTGGGCCAAGGCGTCAACGCCGCTGCAGCCGGGGGAGGCAAATTTAGAAATGAACCTAGGAACCTGGGCGTTGTAATGCGACGCAAACCGATCGATTGTGTGAGGGCCCCATTTTGCGTCAATCACCCGAAATACAGAAGGGTTGACGGACCAGTCATCTTTGTCAACAAATCTGCTGAGAAGATCTGCCCTTTCAGTAAGCGACCTTGGGATCCATTGCGCTTCCAGAATGATGCTGTCAACAAGAAAGAGATTAAAAATGTCCATGGCCAGAGCCTGGAGATTAATTTTGGAGCTTCCGATAGCAACAATTTTGGCGGCGCCCTGATTATCAGTAAAGATTTTAACTCTCTTGTGTTTCAATTGAGCAACGTAGGAAAGCAAGTGACAAGAAATAAATAGCTTTCAGTTCGCGGAACGTAGAACTTTGGCCGATATACTTGGGTTGCCACATGCCGCTGACAACGCTGCCGTATAGAGAAGGTGAAAAACCTCCGAAAGCTACATCACTTGCGTCGGAAAACACAACGGTATGGGTCGCTCTTTGCGCTGAATTAAGCTTGCTGCCGTGGCGGAACACTTATCAGGTTGACTACCGAAACTGTCGTCTAGATAAATGAAACTTGTGTGCCCCATAGAACGCCAGCGTCTAACTAACGGGCGCATCAACTTAGTGAAACAAAAGCAGGCACTTCCGAAAGGAAGAACTGCAAAGGTATAATATCTAACAACGCCGGAAAAAGGCTAAGCAAAACCGAGATACTTTTGGCGATCAAGACAAATATCAGCATGATGGTAGCCGGACTTAAGGTCCCATGCGAAAATCCAGTGTCCTTCATTCAGAACTTGGGATAGCGAGCGCAAGTCTTCATATTTGAATCTGGGTTTAACTAAACAATTGTTGACGCGCCTAAGATCAATAAGGAGACGCAACTTCTTTCCTTCCGCGACTGTTAAAGGATTCATGCAGAACGGAGGAACGACATGCTCAACAATACAACCATTACTAAGTAGCTCGGTAATTGCTTCGGCCACAAATTCTGGATGCTGAAGCGCAGATCTGTTGTTCTTTAGAAAGCACTGTGAGGGATACTGGGCAAAAGGTAAACTGTAACCACGCCTAACCATGTCAAGCACAAAATCTGAAGCATCTAATGCTTCAACCCAAAAGTTAAGCGAAGACCTCAAGCGACCTTTGACGCCATTGCTACTGCCTTTAACACTAAATTCGTCGCTACAGGAAGACAATAAATCTAAAAAATTCGCACTCAACTTGCAGGGCATCAGCATTATCAGTGGTCAACAAACCGCCCTCTAGTCAATCACGGCGAGCGCTACTCTTTCAAGTGTCCGCAGGTTTCGTGCATGTCAAGCTCAAATGACCAAAACCTCCACACTGAAAAAAGGGGAACACACAACGGCATGAAAATAAAATCCAAAGCATAAAAATAAAAGAACAGTGGAGTAGCGTGTGGTGTTAGCAGACCCGAAGGAAGATCACTAACTGACAACAGCTAGATATACGACACGCAATTAACGCGTATAGCGTAATTGAAACACCTTATTGTCTAACACAATAGACTGCCAAATACAGAACGTGCAGAAAACAAATATCTGCTAAACGACGTACCACAGATATTTCGATATTCTGCACTAACCTAGTCTATAGAACGACATACAGCAAAACAGCAATTCATGGAAAATATTTGATTATGGCCTGAGTGTAACGCCATAATCGACGAGGTAAAAACAAAGCCAGTATAACGAGAAAGAGTAGGCTACTTATCTTAAAACAAGGCCCCAAACGACGAGCTGGTCTAGCTTCCGAACGAGAAGCCAAATCCTTAGACGAGAATCTCGACGAAGAAGCCGCGCAGTGTACAGAGGAGGAACCGCTTCCTTTCTCGTCAGAACGGACACGACGACGCTTCTCTTTATTGATTTTTCTCTCGGCCCGGTAAATTCTCTTCTCGTCGTCGGAGTCAGAGGCGAGTTCGTCAGACAAATATTCGTTAACGGTCGCCCATCCAAATTCGCTCTTGTCAGCTAGCTTAATGCCTTTAACACGCTTGGAAACTAATTCAGTACCTGACTCCAGGGCAACTTTAACTTTCTCGTACAATTTCTGCTTGAGAGCGTCGGATGCTTCGTCTAGTTTATCCATCACTTGGAGGGAATGATCCAACTGCTGTTGGTGTCCTTTCCTTTTGCAGGTATATTGTTGGCACCGAGCTCTATTGACTGCTTGTTCAACGGACGAGCTATTCTCTTCGGAAAATCGCTTCGTGAAATCGCTAAGCCTAGATTCAATAACCTTGGTGAGGTTATCGGTTAAAGAACCCATCGATTCAGAAACGGCAGACCGTATAACAGCACCGACAGAAGGATCTCAAACTCCATCGTTCCGACTAGAACGTGCCCTAGCTTCCTCAGAGTCGCTCATGCTAAAGAACATTGGAGTAGCGTGTGGCGTTGGCAGACCCGAAGAAAGATCACGAACTGACAACAGCTATATATACGACATGCAATTAACGCTTATTGCGTAACTGAAACACCTAATTGTATAACACATTAAGAATACAAAATGCAGAACGAGCAGAAAACAAATATCTGCTAAACTACGTAACGCAGATATTTTGATATCATCTGACGAGAACAAGTACCTTGACCGTGTTTTTTCCAAGAACAACTATAACGAATACTTCATCCGACGAAACACTCATCGACCTTAACTACTACTTCTGAAGCTAACGACAACGCAACTCCTACGACTACAGCAACTATACCGCACATAAAGGGCATATCGGAGAACATCTCGCGCATCCTACAACCATTCAATATCCGCGTCGCTCACAAACCCATTATCACACTACGTCAGTTACTGACTAACGTCAAAGACCAAGACGAACCGAGGAACAGACAGGGACCAGTTTATAAGATCAACTGCTCCGACTGGCACGCCTCCCACATCGGTGAGACTGGCAGAAATCTCACAACCAGACTGACCAAACACAAACGGGCGGCGAGGAAAGGCGATGTCAACAATCACATTACTGAACAACACCGACTTACGATCCACACTATTGACTGGAACTCTTCTGGTTTACTAACTTGGAACTGACTCCCTTCAGCAGGTATCAACCACTAACTGCACCATACAAACGACATCCATGACATTAACATTACGAACGAACCGAACAGAACGACCTAACTTTACTATAACAGATCGAGACTGACCAATCACGACCGACCCACGTGAGTCTTACAGCCGATAACATCCCGGCAAAACCGACCAACCAGTTTATACAAACCGGGCTAAGAACATTCGACTGACAACAACTATTCACTTAACTCTGAAGATGACTTCCACTCAGGTTGTCGAAACGTCAGTCACCACTACCGACAACAGTCCTTCTCAGGACTACACTCACCCGGACGATCAAACTACACTATTACGAGAAATTCTCTCTTGGTCACTCACGGGAGTCAAAGGGTTAGCATCAATATCCATATTCTCTAGACTCTTCACTATAAATTTCCATCGTTACTGATGGGGAGAATTCATGTTGTAATCAGAGCGTCTTGAGTTGGCAATCTTTTTGTTATTCTGATGTTCTCAATGAGTGATTCAGCAATAATACTGGAGGGAAAACTTACATGCAGACTACCCTTGGGGGTAATATGGTTAATTAAGCAGAGAGAACCAAATTAGTCCATTATTTCACTTGTAAGCCATGCTGTGTTCCCTATTTAACAGGACATGTGTACAAAACATGGTCCAAAATTACCACAAACATCACTTATTTCAAAGCCAAGAGTAATATTCCACATTGGAGTAATATTTGAATTAAGTATTGGCAATTGTAGAGTTCTGAGAACTGTCTTTGATAATTAAAAAACAAACTCACGGTCTGATGAAATTGGTATTCATAAACAAGGTAATAGCTAGCTCACCTGATTGTTACATGAAGAAAACCCAGCAAGGACCCAACCAGTCTGTTGTCAGTTGTCAGGCAGGCAAAAAATGGGTAGAACAGGATCCCGTATACAAGAACAGTGACAATAATTATTCTGAAAAACTAAATAAAACAGGAATTTTTTTTCTGCTTGCTCATGTTGAGTGCTGGACTGCTGTGCAGGTAAACTGGTGACTGCAGGTAACAACTTTGGTGATAGTCCTTCGTGGTTTTTAGAGGAAATTTTCATTCGGGACTTACAATCCAATCAGTCTTGGAAATTTATGGTCAGTCAGTGGTTTGCTCTTGAGCGCAGAGACGGGCGTATCGAGCGAATGTTTCAAGCAACGGTATCTCAAATGGACTTTGCCAGTGAGGTTGCAAAACGCTGGCGGAGAGGGCTTACGGAGCTACATATCTGGGTGTCAGTTGCTGCCAAACCAAAGAGAAGTCACTTTTCAAGAGTACAGCGGGTTTCTTGCTGCCTTTCAGTGCTTTTGACATCCATGTTTGCAAACGCGATGTTTTATGAGCTCCAAGGCAAATATGAACAACCTATTCAAGTTGGACCGCTGAAATTCTCGTGGAGACAAGTAGTTACTGGTATTGAAAGTGCGCTCATTGTGGCACCAATAAACATACTAATAGTGCTTTTATTTAAAAAAGCATCCAAAAAGTCCTCGAGTAACAACAGTCCTTGCTATAAAGCTAATTTAATCAAAGGTATCGCCTGGTTCTTGTTTTTCGGTTCTTGTGCTATTTCTGCTACGTTTACAATCTTCTATAGCCTGATTTGGGAAAAGAGTGTCAGTGAGCAGTGGCTGTCCTCAATGCTTATCTCCTTTGCTCAAGATGTCACAATCATGGAACCAGTTAAAGTGTTTTTTACAGCTGTAGTTTTGGCGGCCATTATCAAGATGAAGGCGAAGAGATCAACGGTACCTGCATGTGAAGACTCTAATCAAGTTGAAAGCGGCTGCTCAAAACAAAGGCTGTGGACGTTGAAATTAGCGGAAGTAGAAAAGATGAGGAAACGCCAGGCCAAGAAACAGAACCTGTCACGTTACTTCACAGAGCTGGGTATCTACTTGGTTTTCGTTTTCTTGTTAATGGTAGTGTGCTATGGAAACAGAAATGACCATCGCTACTTAATGACCAGATCAATCCGAGATGGACTGCCCAATTTTAACAATGTGAGTAACATTTATTGTGTTTGGAGAAATCGTTAAAAGACTGATATTACCCAACGATTGATGTAGTCACAATTGTAAGTAACGTATTAATTTTCATTGAACTCAGATGGCAGATGACAGGAAGTACTGGAGCTGGCTGCGGAAAGTTTTCATTCCTGGAGTGTTTTCCGGTAGATGGTACAACGGTCAGGAAGAGAAAAAAACAATGTACATTGGTAATAAACGCTCTCTTCTCGTCGGGATGGCTCGATTAAGGCAACTGAGAGTGAAATCGAGTAAGTCCTTTCTTTTATTTACTTTTAAGTCTAACTCACCCTCAAGGAGACGCCTAGAAAATATAATTTTTTTTTTCTGTCAAAGTGTTAGGCATACGTTGTCAAGATTTTGATATTCTACTTTATTTTGTATACACCTTTTAAAGAGAAAAAACGGGCACAAGTTAATATCCGGTTTTTAACTAAATTTTCCTACACGATAAAGAATATGGGAGATGTGCTATACCTGTAGATTGAATTAGTTCCAAAACAAACTTTCTAATAAATGTCCCTTTTTTTATTAAACTTACAGCACCATGCAACGTGTTAAAATACATGAAGACAACTTTCCAGGAATGTTACGAAGGATATTCGGAAACAAACGAAGACAAGACCGCTTTCTATGAACCGGGCTGGAGGTTTGTCGACAACTCTACAAGAGACGCAGATTTATTTCGACTTTGCCCGAAGCCATGGCGATATCAAAATGCGGAAGAAAGTGATAGCGGGTCAGAGTGGGGACAGTTCTCATTTTATCGTGGAGGAGGATTTGTAGCAGACCTCGGGTACAAGAACCATACGGGGTTCAAAGCCGTAACCACTTTGCAAAACAACGGTTGGCTTGACAGGCAAACCCGGGCGGTTCTGGCACAGTTTTCCGTGTTTAACCCGTCGGTGAATATTTTAGGTGTTGCCACATACTTTTACGAAGTTGAGGCATCAGGACTCAAAGAAGCTTTGGTACAAACTGACATTCTTTCTCTTGATCCTACAAACACAGCTTCATATCAGTTCTATTTGATTTGCATTTTACTATACGCTGTATCCGTTCTGCTGTTTTTGGGAAGAGAATGCTTCAAGCTTTACAATCACCGTTCCCGGTATTTCCAGTCCGTGTGGAATTGGGTGGAGATGTCCCAGGTTGTTTTCTCCGTGTTGGCCGTGGTTTTGTACATAAAACGACAAATCATAGTCTCTTCAACATGGGCAAGGTTAAAAGAAAACAGTTATGCAAATATAAGTTTCAAAAAGGCTATCATTTGGCATGAAGCAGAAAATGTTGTACTTGGAATCCTGATGTTTATCGTCACTGCAAAACTCTTGCGAGTCATTCGCTTCAATAAACATGTTGCTGTATTCTCCAAAGCATTGACGATATCTGCACAATCTCTTTCATCCTTTAGCATTGTCCTATTGATTCTTTTCGTGGCATTTCTTCACGCCGGTGTATTGATGTTTGGTACTGGATCTGAGCGCTACTCCTCTGTGCTAAAAGCAGCTTATTTCCAACTCGAACTGACTCTTGGAAGAGTGAAAGCCAGACCAATCAGTGAATTAGCAGAGGTAAACAGCACATACGCTAAGATATTCGTCTTTGCTATTCTTTTCACCCTAACAATTATCTGCATGAACTTTTTTATCGGCGTAATAAACGATGCACTTCTGGATGCAAAGGTTACCGCGAACGAAAGTGAGTTGCACGAGCTCGTTGATGAGGTTCGTTGCAAAGGCTCAAAAGAACGGAACACATTTTTCGATACTGTCAGCAGTAGACTGAGACAACTGAAAGTCTCCCAAGCATCAAACACGGAAGAGAAAAAAGCAGTAGATAGAAGCATTACCCTTGATTCCACGAAGAGTTCAAAAATCAACTTTGATCAAATCAGTGAGGCCATCAAAGCTTTGAGGGGAAAAACAGGCCAAGAACCAGGAGAGAAACAGCCGAAATACTCAAGAGGAAAATCATTTTTCGATGGAATTAGCAAATTCTTGAAAACACTGGGAAGAATGAGCCATGACGAACACTGCAAAGGTAAAAAAAGGAAGAAAGTTCGATTTCAAGAGGATGTCGCTAACTCTCATCTTCGGAAATTAGAGAAAAGAGGGTATGAATTGTTTCAGCGGCTTGATAGGGTTATGGCGGAATTCTCAAAAGAGGACGAAGAATATCATTATCTAATGGAAACAATGCGAGCCTGTGACTTCTAAACAGAGAGGAAATAGTTAAATGGTGAAAGGAATAGATCATATACTCGAGAATTAGACTGAAAGATCGGGACTGTAGTGTACATTACCCCGTGATCACTGGCAAATGGCTGAAATGCTTCGCACGTATACGTATTAAATGTGTTCTTTTCTTTATAATTGAATTTCACGCTTAAAATAAAGAAAAACTTGATAAAGGATGGTAACATAGAGGTGGCGACAAAAATGTAGAGGCGATCAAGTAGAAAGAATTTTTGGCCACTTTCCTTCAGAGTGTATTATGTTTGTATGTAGGTCCATCTAAATTAGATAATTAAAACGTAGCTTCACGACCTGAAGATTAGTTTCTCGAAGCGGTGCTTAGGGAAAGGCCTCGTTAGAATGTCAGCAAGCATCTCATCAGTGGCAAGATATTTACAAAAAATTGCTCCATTTAATGCTTGTGGAGTACCAGCAAACGAAAACTGCCCCTCGTCGGTGCTACCCCAAGGTAAAGAAGAACCAGACGAAACTTTTTGTCGCCTTTCCTCTACATTTGAGTGTATTCGACACCATCTTCTTTCACAAATTACTTTTGACATGTATATTCAACCGTCTATGCTATCGCTCAACGTAAAGCGTACTTTTCGATCTCTACAAACAACGGTCTAAAAGCGACGGTCAACAGAGAATTGACCCATGGGTAAAAAACTAAAAACTGAGCTTTCCAAAACACTGACAGCACATGTTAGCTCTTTTTTTAAGTCTTCCTCCCCCTCCCCCCCCCCCCCAAAAAAAAAAAAAAAAAAAAAAAAGAAAAGAAAAGAAAAGAGAAGGAAAAAAACATACCTAAACGGGGATACTGTGCACGGAAACAGTTAATCTCTTTTGAAACACACAAGTGGAACAATTTTGGCTGGAAATTTCCCGCGCAAAATGGTAAAGGAGAGGATACAAAGCAACCTGTCTGACGCAAAATCTAAGGAAAGAATTGAGTCAATGACAGGAAACAACAAAAGTTTGACAAAGGAAAAATACAGATTTTTTGAACACGAAGTTTATTCAACTACGGATACTTTGTTACCCCAGTAATTTACCATTGACTTTGACAGCTTGAAAACGAAATATCCGCACACGCGCAAACGGTTGAACGCTTTGTCAAGTGATAATAAAGAGCGGGCAGCAGAAACTCATCCCAGCGGCCAGTTTGAAGACAGAGAAAAAGGTCATCGTAGAGAGGTAAAGGACCACTGGCGTAAAATGACATCTTTTTTTTCGAGGGTAAATCGATTCTCATAGTAAAAGAAAAAATAAAATATTTATTGTGGCCTATAAAGAGGTAATGTGACCAAAGTAGAGGAAAACCTAGTTCAAGTATTCAGAAGGGAAACCTCGAGGAAAAACGAAATCAGCAAGGTGAGATGAGTCAACCAGTTTGTGAACAAACGTTACACTTTGTTTTTTCTGTAATGATATAAGCTGTCTGAAGACTTTCTGTCAGGCGAGCTTACTACGTACACATTGTACCGCAACTTTCCTGGTCACTCTTTGATCATCTCAGTTTTTGTTGGATCTGTGAAGAGTTAACTTTTCCGCTGTTTGGCGGGACTCAAGGGAAAATTTCGGTTGAGAAGAGGTGGTAAACTTGAAATAAAGGCCGTTTTAGACGAGGAGAAACTGATGGAAGTTCAAGAGTAAATCACAAGCCAAACTTTTTTATAATCGATACTGAAAATCTGCTTTTTGGCTTCGCCGACGAGAAGCACCTTTCTATAAAAGGTGTCATTTTGCGTCGGTAAAAAATCATTTCCTCTGAATCGTGACCTTCTTAATAGGGAAAACAGGTCCCACAAAAGAGGCAGAAACCGCACCCATGGCCGTAAGGTTTTTCTACCCCTTTTCACGTCATAACGTTGGCCCAAATAAAGATGTGTTCGCTAAGCTTTTCAATGAAAGTGCGCACGCGGAAGAGAAAATTGTCGCTCGAAAGACGTTCACAAAACTAAAAAACCATCAAATCTGAGAAAATTTCCTCTAAAACATTTAATGACCGGAAAGTCACGGGTGTCGCTCTTTAATAAAAAATTTAGTCAGCTATAATATTATCACAACCATTAAGATCTACAACGTGTGATGGCTTAACTCGCCGAGTTTAAATCTAGTTTCAAAACACATTATAATCAGCTTTAAAACTCTACTTAAAAATACTGAGTGTGGTAATGTTAATTATAGTTTTCGTTATATTCAACCATTGAGATTTTTCCCCTGTCATCGCATAGTCGAGAGTTATTTAGAAAAATATTGAACAATCGACTGAGTAAAAACTGTCTAAAATACAAAACGTGCACTATATCTTATCACAGAAATCAAATATTTGTCCAGACATTCAAAACTGATTAAATCAAATTTGAAACTTATTCTCCGGTTTCAGTTTCTGTCCCACTCAAATATTTCCTTTGATGACGAAAAGCAAAGTTTCTACAAAAAAAATTTTCTTGGTATTTGGAGAAATTCTTCAACCCAGAAAACAGAACTTTAGCGAATATTAACAATGACGTCAAAAACTTAACGATCTAAGTCACAATCTCACTCCGAACATTATCTGCGCCTGCTCCACCATGAAACAGGAGAGGAGTAGAACCGAGGCAGCGGTTTGGGTACAAATTCATTGAGCTAAGAAAGTTTTGAAAACTATAAAAAAATGGCAAAAGTTTGTACGGGATTACAGAGTTTGAATAATTGAGTATGAGTGCTTATTTTTGGCAGGATTTGGAATGTATACCAGCATAAAATTTGTCTTCTCCGTTTAGTGAGGAAGGAAAAGCTATAACTATCAAATTCTACCCACCCGACAAAGCTTGTCACTTTGAGTTCCTTGAGAAACTTTGTCAACATGACGTTTGCGTAAAAAGAATCCGTAAAGTCATTCCCGGAGCTTCTCCAGATTTTCTAGGGAGCGAAAAGCCCTGGGTACGAGATTGAAAACTGCTAATGGAGAGGAAAAGGGTTGACAGACACGGCTTTAAGAATTAAACGCATTTCTAGTTTTCGCTGATTGAATAATCAAGCTGTACTTTACTATCGAGTAAAATCAAGGTCTAAATAAAGAAGAATCAAATCTATCAGGGACAGCGTTTGTTGATTTGTTTCCTTTGGGGAAGGGGCGGAGTTTAAGGATTTTACACTTCCCCCCCCCAGCCCCTTATAAGGCTCCGTAATATTTTTAAGAAAACCCACTCATTTGCAGGAAATTTGCAGCCAATATTATTAAGTCCACTTATATACTTTATTAGCGACGACTGATCCTTCTTCCGTTCCCCCTGAAAACCATCTATTCCCCACCTCACCCATCAGCGACAAATAATGAATTGTTTCTCACATACGATTAGTGGTGGTCATCCAAGCTTGCCCATTCCCTATGGAAATAATTAAATAACAACAATAATAATATTAAATAATAAAAACATCTATTCCCCACCCCACCCCTCAGCGGCAAATAATATAATGTTTCTCATACACGGTTAGTGGTGGTCATCCAAGCTTGCCCATTCCCTATGGAAATAATTGGCCTGACTTGTTTTAATTAACTCATTTCCATATATGTTTTTTGGCTATTTAGAACGGAAAGAAACGATTTACGGTGCGGGTTTCAATATTTTGGTGAGCATCGAATGTTGTCTCAAAGTATCAAAAACATACCAAATCAACAAAAAAAGTTAGAACTGCATGAATCAACGGAAAAAAAATAATTAGGAGAATATCACTTTATTGCATTTTCATCCTTAATGTTACTCAATATAGTTCACGTTAGATGTCTGTGACATTTCATGCTTTAAATACTAATTGAAAAGGATATTTTTCTTTTCTTGATGGCGTCCGAAAAGCAACTAATTTCCTTTCCTTAAAGCTCAAAATATATTAAGTGTTGACGACTTGTTCGCTTTTTGTTTCGACAAAGGACTGCTAGCAGAATTCCTTAACAGGAGAGGGGAGGGTCCTACTTCAAAGTGTCTGGAGTAGATTTTTTTCATTTCAAAAATTGTTACTTTAATCACTCTGGCAAAGAAAGGGGGTGATATTCTTTCTAGTGCTTCATCCCCGCCCCTCCCCTCCCCCCTATTTTTTGATGCACTCACGCGCTATAGTTACGCATCTGGGTTGTTTTGCTAAGGGCAGTTGATTTCTCTCCCAGGCTCACCATAATGTAATGATCATATGATATTTCTGACATGTCTTGTTTTAATTTTTAAGTCAACCACTAATTAGCCAGCTAATGTTACTCAGTCATTAAATGACGTCAAGAGACGATTGAGGTATGTCTGAGATTAATGCAAATGGCTTGAACATGGTCAGAGATATCAACACTTGGTTACGATACGAGATTAAAATGAAATTTTTGGGTACTGCTTTATAAACTCGGGTGCCACTTTACAATATACCATCACTTTCAAAGAGGATTGCTTAAACTAGAAATCGGTAAAGTTTCGGAGAAAAAAGCAGTAATACCTAAGACCATTTATCCGTGGCTTCCATATTGTTCAGTGTCGTCGATAACACTCGTTGATTTTGAACTTCCAGCTGCTTGACAAGAAGAAATGTTCGCGGTAGAAACTGCATAAAGTTAGAAAGAACGGTCGATCAAGAAGCGCGTATTGTCCTGAAAAGAGCTAATGTCCATGAAAGTGATTGGCACTAATTTCATGTCTCGCGGAGAGGAAGTCAGATGAAAAATTAGTGATCACTTAAATAGTTCACTTATCCAAACAATCATACTTACTATCAGCATTAATACCTTTACCTCTCGACTAATTCATTGTTTGATTCTCTCTTTATAAAGGTGGTTTTAAAATATGGATTCCTCTGTGAGTAATGTTTAAAACCTTCTCAATATTATTTGATAGTTAACGCTTCTAAATTCATCGTGTTGACTAATTGTACATTCAAAATACAATCCTATGGCAAATATATTCTATTGTGTCAGGTGTGTAATCTGTTATGGTCCATTGGCAAAGAAAACGCGGTGTAATTTCAGCAAATATTACCTATAATATCTTCTCGTTGATTATAAATAAAAAGGTTTTTGAAAACTGGAACGCGAGTCAGTTTGTTTATTTCCCAAAGCTGGATGTTTTGTCTTTTGTTGACACGTTGTCGGGTAACCAATTCGGCAGTCATCGCACACGACCAGAGGTTAACGTAATCACTTACGCAAATACGAAGCTACAACATTGACACTCAAAAGCTGCAAACTGTTTACAAAGTGAAAACAATCGAGGGCACTCCTGATCAGTTGGCTGACGGTTGTTAAG